CCCGTAGTCCGTGACGCGCGCCATCATCCCGTCGTGGAGCTGACGTACCATGTGGGTGAAGTGCTCCAAACAGCCAAACTGTGCATAACTTTCCAAAGTCCAGGGAAGTTCACCGTGTCGAAGGCTTTTGTCAGGTCCACGAAAGTAGTGTAGAGGTGAGTCCGCATCTCCTGGCACTTCTCCTGCAGATGTCGTGTTGCAAAGGTCATGTCAGTGGTGCCGCGGTGACGTCAAACACCACACAGGCTTTCAGGCAGGAGCCCTTGTTCCAGGTGGCTGTTGAGACGATGGAGGAGAATGCGGGCGAAGATTTTGCCGGCAATGTTGAGCAGCGATATTCTGCGGCGATTGTTCCAGAGTTGCTGGTTCCCTTTTTGCTTGTAGAGGTGGACATTTGTGGCGTCCTTGAAATCCTGGGGAACTTATCCTTGTCGCCACATCTCCTGGAACAGGGTGGTAAGGTGAGATATGAGTTGGTGTCCACCATACTTGTAGATCTCCGCAGGGATCCCGTCGGACCCGGTCGCATTCCCGCTGGAGATTTGCTGCACAGCCTTGATGGTTTCCTCAAGGGTGGGTGGGGAGTCGAGGTCAGTGTTGATTTCCACCTGCGGCAGACGGTCAATGGCAGCCTCAGAAGTGGTGGAGGACCGGTTGAGTACACTTTGGAAATGCTCGGCCCAGCTTTACTTAAAAGTGGTCATTTAAACCATTAAGAGAAGTCCCGGGTATTTCTGTTAAGTAGACAGGACCCTGACCGCGCTCGGCCTCATCTGACCACATCAAGTGAGCGGCGCCATGTGTTGACAGGGTCGCATTGCCTGCACACATTCAATCACCGCGTGTGCCCATTTGCTTCTCTCGTGAATCTTCCAGAACTAGGATGAGGCTATATCATGGAAAACAGCATAAGATTGTAGATTTTCACCTGTAGTTAAAGAAAACACCCACTGATATATGCAATTGCTTAAGGGTTAAAAATACAAATAATTATCAACAATGAGGCTAATCATTTCAGCAGGAAACGATAAAATCTGCTAAAAAATTGATTTCATGAAATTCCTCCATTACTCAATGAAGATGAAAGTTTCATTCTCGAAGACACTGACAGGACTGGATAGTTAAGTGCATTCTTCGCAAAACATATTTGTTATAACCTTGGGTGTGCCTGCGTCGGCACTGGTTATATATAACCAGATATATCTCTCAGTCGTAAGTTAGGAAAGGAAGACAGGCAGGATATTAGATAATAGTTTACTGTCACTATTTCTGCTTGTACACCAGCTCTGTCTTCTGTGTGTCCGGTAGCTTGTCCAGTGTCCTTCAGCAGTATGTGTTCTGTCGTCGTTCTCATCTCGGCCAACAGCAGGTCTCGGCAACAGAGTCTTGTGTCACTGGCAGCAGA